TACATAGTCATGATTGCATCGGTCGCATATTCTTATTGTTTTGATACAATTTAATTTGTTTATTTAATTACTTATTTTGATTTTAATTAATTTATTTTGATGACAATATTTGTGTTACGAAGGAATTTCATATTTGCCAATTTCGGCACAATTAGTTTTTGAACTTTTCAAAGGTGAAATGCTGTGAAACCAATTTCCGTTCAGTACTAATGTTTTGTGTTTGAGTTGTTTGGTTGAAAATGGTTTAAATATATCGTAAATAATTTATCGTGATTAAATTCAAAAGTGCATTGTTAGCAAGTGATTTTCGAACACACCTGTGTTATGAAAAGTTAACAGCTTTCAATCGATTGCTGTGTGTTTGGGGCGACCTCTAAAGTAATTTCTTAAAATTCAACCAGTCGCTTTTATATAACGTCTCCTACAAACAAGAATCTGTTTCTAGATTGGCGAGTTATATATTATTTTCTATTGAAAATTAGTAATGTTGGATTAGACAGTCGCAGTTATATATTGATAAGATTATTGATCGATTATTATTTTTATATTTAATTAAAATCCTTTGTAATTTTCTCAGTGAGAAGCACGTAGTTTATATTTGTTGACGCTTATTACCTACCCCCTCTGAAAGAAACACTGATCCAAGCATTTCATGAGTAAAAAAGGTATCGTTTTCATTGCGTCGTGAACCCAGGTAGCCGCGGGCTGACTGAACATCATCCCGCATCGTGGGAAACGCAGAGCCTGTCCGCAAAATTGTATACTCGGAAATGTACAAAGTAGGTGACATGCTTTAATTTATTTGGTAGAAACCACTGATTTAAACAGCAATTTATATCAATTTTTTTAAATTCACTATTTAAATTATAAATATTTATTTTTCAATTTAAAGATGTTTGCAAACTGTATATATTTTAACATGTGTGTTAAATTGTTTATTTCAGTATTCACAGCAAATGTTTTATATGAGGGTGATATTTGTGAAATGAGATAAACCTCTGTTCCACCTCTATAGATATAATGTTGCGTATTCATCAATCATCATTTCTACAAGATAAATAAATATTCGTATAAAAATGTATTTAGTATGAATTTGCTTTTTAGAACCTCCATATGCAAAATGACTGCATTTGAATAAATATAATGCGGGACATAAATAGATTAAACAAGATTAGCAGGCGTGCCAAATAATATAAAAATGTCCTAGTTTGGTGGTCAGTTGTAAATTAGTTCAGTTGTATTAAGGAAGATTTGAATGCTTGATTAAATTCTTTGAAAAAAGTTATATTAGTTTCGCAATCCAAAGTATAGTTGCCCATTTTCAATATACGAGTAGCCTAGTATCAAACCTGGACATAAACCATGAACAGAATTTTACAGTATAGCCTTTCTTAATTTCATATAGTAAATATTCAAATAGATGAATACAGATTTATATGAGGCAATTCATGTTATAACAAAGTAACGAAACCTTATCTTCACTTCAAATTATGTTAAATTTCTCAGAAAATCTATAGTCTTAAAATGTGTTTTAAAACGCATTATGGTTTATGTGCACTTTTGAAACTGACAGCAAAACTCATATATTTTCTGTAAAGGGATTTTTTTATGTTATCAGTAATTAAATAAAGAAAATAATTGAAAATCAAGAAATATGATTGTTTTCTACATAGTATAGATCATATACGGTGTCACAAAATACTCAATGCAACAGCTTCTTCCCCCATTTCAATATCAGAACACTGAGGTTCATCATTTTTTATTAAACAGTTTATTATTTTCTTCAATAACTTACTCTAATATAATTTGGTGCTTGTTTTTTACAATAGAAGGAACAACTTAAAATAAAACGAACCACTCCAACCCTAATGGAGTATTACCAATCCCACAAAAACTGAAATGATGTTCGTAAAAATAATGTCATTACATGCTTAGCTGTGTTTTTTTTCTCCATTGACCGTTTCCATTTTTCTGGGTGTCTCACACGCAGAATGAGCTATGTCCGAAAGTGAAACAAACAGGCAGATAACGTATTGGCTTTTGAAACCTATATTATATTTTTTAAAAAACAAACAAACATTTTTCTGATAGTTTTTCATACCATCTAACTTCAGACCCACAACCTACCCTTTAAAGTGAATCACAATTGACGTCTAATTCATTTTCTATTTTTGTAGCTCATGTCCGACCTTGATTCTAGGCGTCTCAAATATTATTTAAACCATTAATGTTGAATTTTTAGATTTTTCAATAGATTAAGAACTGAAGGTTTGAGCGCAATAGTGGTCTAAGCCTCCATAAATGACAAGTGAGTTACTGGCAATATATGTTGACTAAGATAGTGAACGATCTTTGTACATTTTTTTTCAGTTTTCCTCAACAAAGTTAAGAATTCTTTTTTAACTCGCTGTGCGCAAAACGCGGTTTCACGTGCTAGGTTTCCTTGTACGCACCAGGTAATTTTTTACAGCTTGCAAAACATCTGTAACGATTCGCAATAGTCTTTCGTCTTGACGGAGTCTTAGTATATTATTGAATATACAATGTATAGTAATGATGTTACGACACTGATTGTGATTCATTTATTATTGTACAATGGAGGTAAAGTAAAATTTATATTCCTTTAATTGGCGCGTTACTGGTGTTTCGCTCGCGGCGTGTTAAATAGTACTCGCATCACGGACGCGAGGTTACTCCTCGCTACGCTCCGACGACAAACTCGACTCGTGCGTGAATCACCTGTTTCGCGCCCTTGTTACGCTAACTACCATTTTCGCGTCACAGCTCTTGCTAAACACTGCTACGCAACTTTGACTTGATTTTCCTTCGTCTCCTTAAAGCGCGACTTAGACCGCTATTGCGCTACCACTTGAATTGTTTCCAAACGGCGATTTTGACGCGCTCCGATGCGAGGGCGGGCTGCTCACCCTTGCTGCAGGGGATGACGTCGGGGTTCTTCTCGTCAGCGTCGAAGTCGGCGGGCGCGTCGGCGTCGCCGGCGCCGGCCTTGTCCTTGATGGCGAGGTCGGCGGGCCGCGCGACCCCACCCACGCCCGCGCCGCCCGCGCCGCCACCGCTGCCCGCGCGCGCGCGCACCGCCGCCACCACCGCCGCCGCCACCAGCAGCAGCGCCGTCAGCGCGCCCAGCAGCGTGCCCAGCAGCGGCGTCATGCGCAGCGCCGCCGGCGGCCCTGCGCCCAGCGCCCACACAGCGTCAACCGCGCGCCTGCGGTGCCTTAGTACGGTACATGCTATGCCCAGGGGATGGTTCCGGGGGATGTGGCTCAGGGCGTCAACTGATGTCACTGTGCCTCTGACTGGGAGGTGCTAGGGTTCCCCTCCCGACCTTGGCGGGAGTTTCCACACTAGCTTGTCGGCTAGGTTGAATTCAGTCGCTGCCTGGAGGACAATTATAGCGGCCGGCTACTCTCATCAGTAGTTTTCCGTGATTTCTCCGATCAACACCAGACGAATTCCGGAGCAGTACCCTTACAAACGGGCCACGGACCTCGCGCGATCTTTTTTTTTTCCTTGTTGTTTCCTCACCCCTTACACACAATTGCACTCACATGCACTTCACTACCACTCATGACGTGATACCGGGGCGAAGCTTAGATCTTGTTCAGGTTGGAGCGGTGCCCCGCAGAAGGGAAAAACCTTCCAAGTCTGTAAGTCGGCGACGGGTCTCACCATCCAGTGAGGAATATCATAGCCACATCTCGCGATAATACATCCACAACACTTACGTGACTAACGACATTAGCAGTTGACGAGCCCGGAATCACTGACCATAAAACGCAGGGGATGGGCGTTCCACTCCATGTTGGAACGGCGCCGATTTATATACCAGTTTTCGGTATTTTCTCTTTACGTATGTTTGCCAGAAAGGCACCGCCCCAGCCGCGATAAGTTAACCCCCTTCTTAGGAGAGCGACGGGAGGGGACAAGTATGAGAAAAGAAAGGTAGCGCGCGGGCTGCGTCTCCTTTGTTAGTGCACTATTTCAGTATTGCTTGTGGAGTAGATTGATTTATTGTTTTGTGTTTTTGGGAGCGTCAACTGCTAGGGTTATTAGTCACGTTGGTGTAGTACATGTTATGTCCCAAGATGTGGTAGTGAGATCTGTCGCTGATGTGCATGCTGGTTTATGAGGGTTTACCTCTTCAAATGGGACACAAGCTCTAAGTTAATGACGCTTTCCCCGAAATAAGTAGTGTAGTGCATGTAACGCGTCCTCCGATATGAGATATAGTGGCCGGTGGGCGAGGGTCTTGGGTGCGTTCCTAGATGTGTAACCTACGTGACTTTACGGAGCGCAGTAAAGCAATGCGGCTAGCGCATGTCTAGGGACAAAGCTGTTGGAAGGAGAGCGAGGCACTTGCTACAGGATGAAGTCAAAGGCCAGGCCGGGGCGCGAGTGAAGCATCACCGAGGCGCTTTTTTGCTTGCTTGAGCGTGATGCCCTCTAGCAGCAGTTAGGCAGTTCAACTAGGGGCGGAAAGGAGAGCAAGGCACGTGCACCAGGGTGAAGCTGAAGGCCAGGACGACGACGCGAGTAAAGCCTCATCGCTGCGCTTCCCGATCTGCTTTATCGTGGCGCCCTCGAGTGCCAGTTAAGCAATTCTGCTAGCGTCAGGAAAAGGGAGCAAGGCGCGTGCAGCATGGTGAACGCAAAGACTAGGACCGGGGACGCGGGTGAATCCTCATCGGTTCGCTTCTTGGCCTGTTTCAGCGTGAAGCTCTCGAGCGCCAGTTAAGCAATTCCGCTAGCGGCGGGAAGGTGAACGAGGCACCAGGGTGAAGTCAAAGACCAGAATTGAGGATGCGGGTGAAGCCTCACTGGTGCGCTTCTCGGTATATTTGAGCATGAATCTCTCAAGCGCCAGTTAAGCAATTCGGCTAGTGGCGCGAAGGGGAGCGTGGCACGTGCACCAGGGTGAAGCCAAAGGCCTCGCCGGCTGCTTGAGCATGAAGTCCTCAAGCGCCATTTAAGCAATTCGGCTAGCGGTAGGAAAGGGAGCAAGGCGCGTGCACCAGAGTGAAGCCAAAGGCCGGGGCAGGGGCCGCGGGTGAAGCCTCACCGGTACGCTTCTCGGCCTGCTTGAGCGTGAAGCCCTCGAGCGCCAGCGGCTCGCTACGCCCCACGCTGTTGGCGGCGAAGGCGAGCATCTTGAGCGAGCGGCCGGCGCGCAGCCCCTCCACCAGGAAGCGCGGCCAGCGGGAGGAGATGTTGGCGGCGAGCTGCCCGCTCTCCAGGTCGAACACCTCCAGCAGGAAGAGCTGCTGCAGGCCGCCGTCGAAGCCCTCCACGCAGTCCACCTCCAGCGACCCCGTCGTCTGGTTCACCAGCGTGCAGTTGAGCGGCGGCTCCGGCCGACCTGCGCACGCACGCCCGCGCGCGCCGCGCCGTCACTTACACCCTCACGCTCACGCTCTCGAGGGCGAGACAACACAAAATTGAGCATGTTGATGAACAACAACTCAACAAAAAAGCTGGCTCTCTGACGCCTTGCGGACTATAAAGTAATTGGGAAAACAGTAAGAGGGAGACCTGGAAAGAAAATTTTAGAACTACTTCAATCTATAAGAACTACACTTCAAAATGTATGGACAGGATGAAGAGGACAGAATGTCGTGGCAGCAGCAGCAAGGCAGTTTTTTGTTCATCCTAAGATAGTGATTACTCTCCGACGTATTGTTATATCTCATGATATTCTGGATTACAAGATAATTTATGTATACCTAACATGTAATTTGGCAAACCTTCCAGACATTAATGCCACGAGTGATGCCTAGTGAAAATTGTGTATATTTTAGGTATTATATAAATCCTAGCTTTTGTTTAAAATACCCTACGATATAAACGTGTCGAAAGAAATGTAACCTTTGGTCACATAAAATTAAGACTATATTGTCCCAATAATATTTCTGTCTACCTGACAGTTGGGGTTGGGGTACAGCGATGTTGTCACTTACTCAAGCGGCAGACTCGTGGTGGTGTGGACGTTCTAACATCAGATCAAAAAACGCAATAAGAGCAACAGTTAGTTACAACAGTAGACGACACAGAACCGCACACACGTGCATAATCAAAGAAGTAATGGCACTCTTCAATTTACAGTTGCTTCGCGCTGTAAAACAGCATTTTTCCCCCTTCATCGGTATTAGTAACTCTTCAGTGACGTCAACTGAATTTGAAGCCTCTTGATTGGATAGCCGAACTCTCTCTTCCCTGTCAGCCTCTAGCTGTCAAGTAGCCTGAAATATTATTCGAACAATAAGTGTTAGTTAATTTATTTTATTTTAGATCGCTGTGCAACTTCGTGGTTATGAGCGATCACAATCTGATATACAATTTTACATTAAAAGAAAATGTACATTTTTGATTACCTTTCTATTAACAAATTGAAACATTCAATATTACAACCATTGTATTTTTTATCAATACGTGAAATACTGTATGGATTTATATAATTTAGCAACACATAGAAATTCAATACGTTTGTGACACATGATACAATTTAACATATAATGAATATCTGTATCAAATTTGAAGTTTTTTCTGATATCTTTTCTTAAACGACATTCAACTAATAAATAAGATGTAGAAATAAATTCCCTACAACTTGGACACGGATCTGTATTTGTCTTTTAAATAAATAACTGTGACTCAAATTAAATAGGTATCAGTAAAGAAACTCATCTTGAAAAACATAATCCTCCTTTGTGCCTTGCGCAGTCAAGTTAAACGGAGGAATCCAGGAGGAAATAAAGACTTGGGAAAAATCGAGGCGTTGTTAGAAACAAAAGAAGCTTTTTATGACGAAAAGCTTTGTCACAAACAGGAAATTTTAGGAACCGGTGTAAAACGTGTGCCAGTGTTCTCAGACTTGTCACTAACGCCTCTATGGGAGATGTGCAAGAATCAAAACTGCTTTTCATAAAAGACGGGGTATTTTGTACTTAATCTGTCATGAAATACATTTTTGATTTTCTTCAGTCTAAATTCTTGGAGACCTAATTATTGAATGTAATCAGTAATGTTCTGTAATATTGATCAAATTTGATAATTATCATACTACCAACACATTTATAATTCCATCAAAATATATTATAAATATTTGTTAATGTTTGCGTTTGTTTTAGGTTTTCTTGATGCGAACATTGAGTCAAATATCTATCTTATTGCGTTTCACCTGAGCAGTGTAATATCAAAGCCAATATATATCGAATTTGCCTACGGCGTTCATCAAACAATAATGGATTGTTTAAAAGACGTAATACATACTTTTTTACGTTGAAATGGAAATTATATCAAACTGATACACAAAGAATATAATTCTAGAAAGTAATTTTAACCACAAAATTAAATTAGAATATGTATTGAAACTATTTGGTAAAAATAATGTAGTTATTGACAGACTTTATTGGTATTAACGGAACGTAGTGTTCAGAGAACACAGTCATTTTCGTATATTCGGATGAAATTATTGCTATTACAAAACATAATTTTACGTAATACTCTTTGATAAAATCAGTATCTAAATACACGCGTCGAACGATTTAAAGTTCGGAAAAAAGGTTTCATCGTAGTGCACTTAAACTCTAACCATTGAATGTTTCTCATTAATCAACGTTTTTTAAAGAATCCTTCGAAATTAACATTATAGATAATATTACTTTGAATGTCACAAAAACTTTCCCTTTCAATAATATTCTCTTAAATGATTTAATACGAAAAATCTACACTTAAGAAAGTAATGTTCTTGACTGCGGAATAATCTTCCAACATTGCTTTTGAAATAAACAAATTTCAACAAAAGAAAAACATATATTTATTTTCTAATTTCAGAGAATACAATTAAATTCTTGTGTAATTACGGTGAATCCTCTCTTGCGTTTTGCAACGTAATCCTAGTAACAGAATAGAATTAAATTCAAACTTTGCGGCAGTTAGTCAAATATTCCTATACTTCGTAGAAACATGCAAATCGTACGAAATTGTTTCAGGCTAGTTGTATTTACATCCAATATATGTGTCAAACTATTGTCTTTGAATAAACTCTAAGAAGTCAAAGGAATACTTCGAGAAATTAATCTGCAGCATATCCTTGTAAGATATTATTCTGAGGAGATCGGCAGATAAAAACAAGTTAAACGGATTTCAAAACAGGTTTTGGGAAATTACTTTTATTGTTCATTTGATGCCTTATATTGATCATACACAGTCAAGTCATGTTAATGTGACCACCCGTCAAAATACTGAATGTCCCCCTTTTGCGGCGCTGACCGCTAAGAGACCTACAGGAAGAGAGTCAATTAGGTTGCATTGTCCCGCTGGTATGTGGCATCTTGATGATGAAATTATTTTCATATGTGCATATTGTACTTCGCATCGTGTACTTCTGTTGCCGTTGTGTATTTCTGAATGACGACATCACCCAGGGAATGCCAAGGAAACATTTCCCACACCATCACCATCCGTCCTCCGGCCTGGACTCGTCCGGCGATTGCTGCAGGGTATTTGCGTCAGGCGTCTAACGCTATGTACGCCAAGGACCATCTGTCCGATGGAGCAGAAAATGTGATTCATCAGAAAAGGCCACCTGCTGCCACTCAGTGGACGTCCAAATTCTAACATTCGTCGCCGATGATCCGCAATCAGAATAGTTGCATGGGCAAGGCGCCTGCTGCGGAGGCCCATACGCAGCAACGTGCGCTAACCTGATGAGACCATGTTCGCATCTCCCTTGGCTTATCTGGGCGGTTAGATGCTCTACAGGTGCATGCCCGTTCACATCTCCGCATCCGTCCTTCTCCCTCTCATGAGACCCAAACACCACATGTTTCTCAATGTAGTATGTCAACGCGGTGAATCCGAATCTGAAGCCCGAATGGCTCCATCACCCTCCAATTCTTTTAAATCGCGCAAAAAAACCGTGGTATTATATTTTGTGTTTACAGATGTTATTGTAAAACCCAAAGACTTGACACATGTTTCTCTGGGATGCGTGCTAATGTGATGAATCCGAATCCGAAACCATAATTATGCCATCACCCACCCCTTTTTGAATAGCAAAAATCGCAAATTATAAAACGAAAAATACTCGTGTTTTTTTTCGCGATTAACAACTGGAATATAGTGACGCAATTATGGCTTGGGATTCGGGTTCAGAGCGTGGGCAAACATACAGACGCATACAGACGCGTGTTCAATATTAGGTCAGACAATGTTTGGCTTCTGTAGAGTTTAATACTACAAGACACCGAAATCTAGTATTGACATATGTTTTTCGGGGTACAAAAACTGGAGGATGGTGGCGCAATTCCGGCTTCATATTCGTATTCAGCGTGTCGACGTACGTGGCGGAAAATGTGCCAAAGCTAAATGCCAAAGCCAAAGCCAATGCCAATGAGAGGCCTCATTTGGACTTTCTGCATAGGGGCCCCCGAGTAGGTACGCTTATGAAATTATTAGAGGAAAATGTTGCCATACACAGTCCAATCACATTAATATGACCACCGCCTATGTTCGACGTAAACGTGGAATAACCCCTTACAACCCCTTACGATGTGAAGTGGCAGCACTAACAGTGGAGGGTACATGTGTGTCGGTTGGAAACGGAAAACCGTGCAGCAGTTGTCGCGTTGCAGAAACGGAGCGATTTTTCGGACGTCCAAAAGGACATGATCATTGGCTTTCAGGCCAAGAGAGGAATCGTTTCCGAAATGGATGTTTGTAAAGTGTTCACGTACCGCAGTGGTTAAAGAATACCGTATTAATGCCTGTGTTATCGTAATCGGAAAAATTCTATATGAATTGATGTTATATTGGAAAGTAATTCACACCATTGCACACAGTATGTGCCTTAAATTCCCTCCCAAAAAATAAATGTTTTGAATAGAGTGTTCGGTCATTTGATGGCCATAACGTGGTATAATTAAAGAGAAGTGTTATCAAAATATACTCAACGACAATGAAAATTATAATTATCCGTATATCAAATATATAAACAAGGGCATATTAGTGGGAGTAGTAATTGATAAACAGACAGGGGAAACTAGTTTAAAATTAGAAAATTACAGATATACCGGTTATCACGGAGTAAAGATTGTAAGACGCAGGTAGGTGATTATCCAATCAGGAGAGACACAGACATTAAACTAGGAGGAGAGAGACGAAGATTTATGCAGAAGGAACGATTTTGAGACATTCAGCGCATCAAGAAGACAAATGAGTAGCTAGGATTACGAACTGCCGGGGCGGAATAGCTCGAACTGCGGTCGCAGGTGGATGGTTAGAATTTCATTGCGAACAGACGCGAATCATAAAGGTACAAATATGTGCGGAGATATGCGTATGTTAATTGTGGAAAGAAGTGTAGAATGACGCAGATGAAAATTTTGAAGAATTAAGGGACATTCCTTTTTGTAGAGAATGAGACCGCCAACGCGTGGGAGGTCAACGCTGAAGAGAGAACGGCAGAATACCAGCGTACAACCATGCGGAGGAACGAAGACGTAAGTGCGAAATAGATATTATTATTATTATTATTATTATTATTATTATTATTATTATTATTATTATTATTATTATTATCATCATTATCATTATCATTATTATTATTAATAATAATAATAATTATTATGATGATGATGTATAGGAAGACCAGGTCTTGTCATTAGATATAAATTTAAATAAAGTTTACAATAGTAAGGTAGCATGGCCATGTGTGAATGGGTAAATCAAAGAGTGTCCGTGTTGTAAATAAAGTCTAGATGAGCTAACTCACTGAGAAAAAATTTTGAGTTATTTTTGTTGGGAAGTATATTGCATTTGTTGTTTTTGGAGCTAGGCAAATCCAATTTAAATTATAAATTCACACCGACAGAATTTACAGAAGAACGAACGTGTTTGTTTTCGTAAAGGTTGCCAGAATTCCAATAATTAAAGTATTTATTAAAGAGGGGGGTCCCTAAAGTTTCGTTGACGTGTTTTCGTATGCGTGGCTCTGTCGATTTCCGAAAATATATTTTCTGTGTCGAATATATCTGTCCAAAGTGTGGTATTTAATGTTAGTAAAAGGAATTATAGAATAGATGGGTATTGATAAAATAAAAAAAATAGATGTTTATAAAATTAATCCAGAGATCAAAGGAAATCCATTTCAGATGGCATACATACCCAGCATGGGATAAGCTATTATAAAGAATTAATAGTATTATTGCTATAATTACTTATTTATTAAAATAAACTCCCAGTTCAAATAATATATCTATTACAATAGTTACAAAAATTATTATTTTGCAGTAAAAATGAGAAGGGGTATTCCTGGTTAGTCGAAACTGACGATCCCAAAACATTTATTTTTCTTGGTGAAAATCTCATTAATGTGGATGGAATAGATTCCACAATGAAAGGAAAATTACGCTCCAAGAAATCGTTTATACAATACCAAAGTGTCTATTTTTCCTTTAACACTTAGCGACTCTAAAATGGTTAAATCGCTAATAATTCAAGCTATGTATTACGAAGTGGAAATACCGTTTTACATCAATAGGTCACTATAAATGCAGATTATTACCCATTATGAATGGGTAAATCAAAGAGTAAATGAGCATGTTGTAAGTACAGAGTAAATGAGAAAGGTGACTGGGAAATATATTGAAGTTATTCTTATTGTTGTGAAGTATATTGAATTTATTGTTTTTGAAGCTAGGAAAATTCAAACAGACAGATAATTACAGTAGAACAAACGTGTTTGTTTTCGTTCACGTTGTCAGAATTACTATAATTAAAATATTTATTAAAGATAGGGATTCCGTACGTAAAGTTTAGTGGCCGTAATTCCGTATGGGTGGCTCTGTCGACCCTCAAAAATATTCTATAGATTGGAATATTCAAGTCGAACATGTAAGTTATTGTTAGTAAAAGTAATTAAAGAAAGAATGGGTACATATTGTATCGTTTGAGCCATTGAGCAACACAGGCGCGCCACTGGTAGGGGCGAAACAGTGTGATCTGGAATCTGCGGCCCACGGGACGACTGCTACACGGCACGGGCTACAGCTGGTGTAGGCGTTCTACAGCTGAAAAAGCTTATGTAGGTGTGTTAAGAGGGATTATTAAAGTAGTAATTTTAAAGTATTTAAAAATAAAATCGATTAGGCTATGTATCATCGTAGGCTTTCACGGCCAGAGTCAATAGAATATAAACTTTCAGAGCTGGTAGGCCGTGATCCAGCTGGCATTGAAGGGCCACTTCTGGTCCTTCAGTACCAACGGGACTACGGCCTACTATCCCGGAAAATTTACCTTCTATTAGGCTATGGTTTATGTTAGTTGGAATTACGTGAACACGCTCACCCATAGGAGGTTTAGAGCGTAATTACAGAACAGAAATCGCTACCGCACGTACGAAGTGAAAGTGTTGCAGGCTACTCAAAGGAGACTTAAGAAAAGGGAAACGCGCAGGTATAAGGTTACTCCCGGTTATTTTAATTTATTTTTCTTTATTTTACATCAAAAATAGAAATTGTGTGTGACGTACTACGGGGAGAAGTGTATTCAGTGCATGTTTTTTAAATTTTCGGATTCTCACGCTTAGCCATATACTAGTTACATTCTCAATATGAAGGAATATACTTCTGCCGTTACAACATGAAAAATGATAATTTGAAAAAGTGTATTTCCCACTGAGCTGTAGAAAACGTGCACAGTTAATGAAGTTACATAATTTTTTAATGTAAAAAAGGCAAGATTCCCTAGCGGAGTTTGACAAACGTTCGCTTGTGGTGGAAACTACTTCTTGTTCTGTAGGGGTTGTGAAGGTTGTGTGCTGTGCACGCAGGTGAAACGGGTGAGAGAAGCGCAACGCGTTGTACGTGACCGCAGGACACGCACAATTGCGCACACGCACAACGGGCGGGAACAAAACAATAATGCATCACGTGACCAAACGACGGTCATTTGTCAACTGATATGAAAGAATAACGTAAGACTGGGCGGTTAGTCAACTGATGCAAAATATAATTTTCGTGATGGGGTGTTTGGCTTTTGATCCAAATTAGTATCCTGTCGACAAAAATATTAATTGCCAAGGAATTTTTAATAGATAGTTTACATTTTCACACACAATCTAGAGTAAAATTATTACCAGTTGTGCTTCAACAGCACATACTTTCTTGCAATATTACAATGTTATCATTATGTACGGCGGGATGCCCATGTATGCTTCATCGATTTCAAACAAATTACGCGAAAAATACTGATTTTTACAAACTTTTTGAAAAATTTTAAAATGTGCTGTCATTGAGTAGCTCCGTATGAACCGGTGACTGTGCAAAGGGCTCTGCCGCTTTTTCGGTGGCACCACCGATTGGCTGCGTATGAAGTGTGAAGGAATATGCCGCTTAGCGGTGGTGCCATCCAGTGGCTCCGTATGAAGTGGTCGCTTTGTGTGAAGGGTTCTGCCGTTTCTCGGTGGCGCACCGAGTGGATGCCGTAGTATGCCGTTATGGATTTGTGTGAAGGGAGCTGCCGCTTCTCGGTAGCGCCACCGCGTGGCTCCGTGTGAGGCCAGCCTAAGACGCTTGACGCATGCAGGTACTCACCGGCGGCGATGATGTGGAAGACGCAGGCGTCGCGCTGCTGCCCGGCCGTGTTGAAGGCCGTGCACATGAGCGTGCCGTAGTCGAGCTCGCTGACGGGCGTGTAGGTGAGCACGGAGGCGGCGCGCGCCCCGCCCTGCGAGCGGAAGCGCGCCTCGGGCACTTCCACCACGGCGTCCGAGCTGCCCGAGTGGTTGAAGCTCCAGCGGAAGTCGACCGGCGGCGGGTACGCCTCCACCTCGCACGTGATGCTGGCGGGCTCCAGGCGCGCCACGGCGTACACGCGGCGCTGCTCCGGCCGGCACACGGGCTTGTCTGCGCACGGCGGGAGACACTCGGTGAGCATCAACACGTTTCTCTTTACAAATATTTAGTTCAGACTAACATCAGCTCTATTTCTGTCTTCTCTCCATTTGAGATTCAAGTGAAAAGAGTCACAAATTGCAGACGAAGATGATCTGAGCGTCTCTTTTTTTATATTTTAGTTGCTAGGTAGACACACTATCAGGCATGCGAGTGTCGGCGTTCAGAGAAAGGATATTCAAGTTTTCTTTTCTAAATTAAACAATAAACGATACAACGTGACATATGTTAATCATGTGATAAAGTATAAGAAATTAAAAACTAAAAGTTAGTTAAAAATTACTAAATGGAGGACGAGAGACCAACTGACGTCAATGGAGAAAGGTTGATAACCCTATGTGCACGGGCCCCCTCTCCCAGTCAGGTTTTATATTTAGACTTTTAGTTAAAGATAAAAAATAAATACATTTATTTAAGCCGCAATTGAGTATAAACCGGTGAAATAAATAACATAAGTAAGGTAATGTAATAACATGATTTTGAAAACATGAAGTTACATGAAAAATAAATATTGTGAAGTATCTCAGCGATGTTCGCGGATGTAACACATTTATTATGCAAAGGAATTAAATCTATACAGGCTGTCTTGGAATTAATTTTACAAACTTCTAAGGTATATAGAATGGTTGAAAACGTTAACGGCCCGTGATTGTCATCTAGCGCTCTCTCAGAGTCCCCGCCCCATTTACACCCCCTTGCCAGGCCCCGATCTGTTCACATACGTGTTCAAACAACTGTCGCTATCTCCCTAAATTATTAAATATTGGAAGATTGCATGAAAATAATGTGAAAATATAGGATTAATAATTTCAACCGCAAATTTCCTGTCTTTTTTGGTCACTCAAAAGGATTCTTTCAGAATTTGTCTAAAATTTCTCTGAGCGTTGCAGAGAGATTCATACAAATTTTATCACATACACCACGTTTTATATATCAAGAGTAACACTATTCGTCCACTCTTTGCTGGAATCAACACATTCAATTAATTGTTAAAAATTATAGATGCCAGATCGACACTTTCTCGAGCAAAAAGTTTTCATAACTAGTTTGCTGCCATCCGACGTAAGTTGGGCCTTAATCTATCTGTGTCAAATTATTAAAATCGTTGATCCTTATACTACATTTTATCCGTCAAATTGGTTTGCATTTACAGATCAATTTAGTGTATAATTTTAACATTTTCATTGTTTCAGTTACAACCACGAATTACTTAATTATCATCCAATCCAAAGGTTACTGAACTGAGTCCCGCGAGACCCCGGAATTCCTTGAAGATCTCACGGCGGTTCAGCAAAACTTACGTTGTTGTCTTCCTACATTATCAAGGATAATGCATTGAGAAGATTTTTTAGGTAACTTAATGTATATTGAATATATATATATATATATATATATATATATGTATATATATATTAGTTTAAATTTCACAAATATATTAACATGTTCACGCGAGTGTGTATATAATAAATTTCCCATTTGTGGTTTAAAATCTGTAATCATTAGTAAGAAGAAAATAAAGGAATAAAATCATAAGCTCTAGGAAACTAATCGCATACATCGCATTATAATTAAGAAATCAATTAATATTATCTTCATAAATTCAGTCAAATTCTATTTCGTTTGTAACGAAATAACCACTGATTAATGTGAGCTGTATTCTTTTTAATTTTAAGTTTACTTATGAACGGTTTGGTTCTGTCTTTCATGTTATAAAACTCGGAAATTGTCGAAATAGTATGCTTCTCTTTTACACGTGTATTTTGTTGTTAAACATATTATATACGTTAGTAACCATATAAACATTGTTCCGCCTTCAAAGGAAGCTGTAATATTATTTTTGCATTAACATCATTTTCAAAATTTATAGCAAGCGGGAAATGTAGATTAAAAGGCACTTTAAAGCTTTCTACTGCAGATCTTGATTCTTGAGCTCCGGAGACAATAACTAGCTCTTTTTCTAATGGTAACAAAGGTTATAAAAAGGGTGCTACAAATTAAATCACTTCCAAAGAAGTTAGACCAGTTATTGCTTCTACAAGTAGTTAAATTAGAGCGGTTACTAAAAACCCTTGAAGTATAATGAAAGTTTCATTTCTTTAGGGTTCATGCCCAGTAATGGAAACCGTCGGTGTGTTGTAGGCAGCAAAGATTTTGCAAATGACTCTTTCGCTCATGACAAATTGCCGTAGCATTTAAAATCAGTTCTTAACGAGTTTAAAGAAAAAAAATATTTTCAATTTTTATTCAAAAAAATGGCTAACTCTTCACATTACTGTTGTAAGGTCAAACCACAAAAAAGTATATGAAAAAGCAACAAGAGACTGAATAATGTCTGCCACTTCTTTGATAGTAATTGATTGAGGTGTATTAATAAAGAAAACTATAATGTATACAATATATTCAGGAACGCATTGAATTTTGTTTTACTGCGAATACATTCCTTAAAGACAAAAATTATGACACACGGTGATCACATTCTTTTTAAAATTAAAGATACTACTAGCTTACGGAAATGAATGGTATTTTTAACAGATAACTGGAGAAAGAAGTATAAATTAGAATCTCGAAAGCTTTGAAACAATGACGGATTTTAAAGTGTTTTTCTGTCATGTAAAAGGGAAAGTATGAACATCAAGAAAGTTTTTTGATTTGTGCATACTGGTCTTCCTCTACTGATCACAGATGTTTATACTAAACTTGAATTAGATATTCAAGAATTTGGTAAAGAAAATAGATATAAGGGTAAACGGCTCTCATATCCTCAATTGTAGTCTTAAGAGTTGCCTCGGTGGCCCAAGTGGTTAGAGCATTTGTGTGTATACCAAGAGATTCCGATACGAGTCTCAATTGTGACTGTAAAAACCTAATTTATAATAATATTGTTCACGCTGAAACCACACTAATTCTAATCCATCAGCTTTGTTACAGACTCTTTTAAATTCAATTTCTTGAAAACGCGGGATGATAATTGATCACAAGTATTATATTGTTGATGAATGATATAGAAATGAGAATAGATGCTGATAAGAAGACTATAGTCAGCCTGAAAATATTTATACACACGATTTCTTTCATTTTTCGTAGCATGAATTGGTATCATCCCTCCTAATTTATGAAACGAAAAACAAATCACCTGAAACATGAATGAAAAAGCAAAGGAGAATATCCGTATTCTGATTCCGTGATAACAGCACCTGCAGGTCTTTCACAGCAGCCTCCTCGCTTCTAAGCTGGACGGGATAGGTCTCTATTTGTCCGCCACTGCCCGCTGCGGTGCAGAGATAATTCATGGGGATCCCGCATCCCTCATTCACCGCCTCCGCCACATTCAGACCGAAACAAATGAAAGGGCCGCGAATGGATCCCAATCACCGCTCCGCAAAATTCCGCTGCTGAAAAACGAGAACCGATCGCAGAAAAAAAAACGACGAGCACCAAATTATTTTGTTGGCGGAATAAAAGCAGTGAGACTCTCATGACTTCTTTCTCTATTCTCCCTCATCTCTACCTGGCCTTCTCCGTCGCCATCTCCCAGGATTATTTGTTCCCTTTACCTCTGACGTCGTTGCTACCATTCAGTTCCATTCCACTGAGAATGTGTTTCTCTTGTCAAAAAAACTGTTTTAAAGTAAAAATGTTTTCTGTTCCTGTAATTTCTTACCCTTTTTTTAATTTCTCGCATACTACATACTCAGTACAGAAAACAGCTGAATAGAAACTGCTACAAAAAACAATATTTGACAGAAAAACTCATTTTGTGGGACCCTGATACCAAAAACGTTGATAGTTATTGTTTCTATACGTACTAATAACAGCTTCTATCACGTTGTGTAGTGAGTCTTCTTTTTGTAGAAGCATTTGTGGGTTCTTGGTAATAAACAATTGATTGTCGGTGAAACGTACGTCAGTCTGTGACCAACGATCCTTAAATGAAGTCATGCACATGTTTTGAAAAAAAACGAGTTTTCGGTATGCCAAAGACAATATTTTTACCAAGATATTTCCTGATCAATCTGGCTGATGTCCCGACGAATTTTAAATGGATATTTTATTTTTTGGGCACAAGACCTCACATTTTTGTTTATTTATTGTCTCGGACTATACTAAAACCTCATATAAATAGTCCGAATCTCATTTTTCGAAAAAAAATTTAAAATTTCGAAAACTGGAAAAGTTTAATATTTTCGACGTTTATCAACAACCACAATATTGAAGATAGAATGGTTTCATTCACATGAAATTTGTTGCCTGAATTAGTTCTTTATATAATTTCGTGAATATTGTTTTAAAAATATTACTGGTTTTCAACAATTTTGAGTGAAATATAGGTAATACTAAAAACAATACTTTCTAAAAAAAACTGCAATAAATTAGCTCAAATAGGCTTATAATATTTCAAATGATTGCTTATCAAATTTTTCAAAATTTCGAAACTTTTCTGAAAAAATCAAGCTCAAATAGGCTTATAATATATTTCAAATGATTGCTTATCAAATTTTTCAAAATTTCTAAACTTTTCTGAAAAAATCAGCTCAAAATTTGAATTGCTCATGAACCTTCAGAGAACATTAAAAAAAAGAGACTCCAATTTTTCAAATATAGCAATTGGACCAGGTTGTAAAAGAAAAATACTTAAAAAAAGTTGAAGGGCACTATGTTGGAGTGACCGAATGTTACCGATTAATTCTGTAGAGCCTCTCTCTATTATTATATTAATTTATGGGGAGAGTGATTGTGAGAAAAGGGGGGCTAATAATTTTATGAATTAGGGTGGGTGAAAGAGATCTTTGGGGAATCTGGATGTAATGCGTGATGCATAATGTGCCGTTTTGGCCGAAATTGAATATTGGAGTGTTGGGGCATGCTGGGAGGAGAAAATAATATTTT